AGTCAGCACCCTGGCACTATCTGACCCTGGCACTATCTGTTATATAGAATCCAATTTGGTATGGATACGAGAGATTTTTATCTGCAAAGTCTTGAGCAAAATGGTCACAGTGGGATACCAAACACTCAATGTCCTCATACAGGCCAGATCCCAACAGGCCTCTAACTATCCAGAATAGCTCTGTTGGTCTACACTGTGTAGATGCAATGGTGGTAGAATAGAATTGTTTCTTTTCCACCATCATCACAGATTACACTTTAAAATGAGCTGTAGACCATGTGTTATCCTATTTGTCCTGAGTCTTCTTCCAGTCTGTATAGCAGTCTCCCTTGCTTTCTCATCACTCACAGCTAGGGGTGTGCAAAAAAAAAATTGGCCCATTCGAATTCGGCCGAATCGGGCCAAATCAATTTCGGCTGGCAGTAAGACTCCCACATGTCAGTTTCATCAGTACCAGCCGATTTGGGAGTCTTTTGGCCAGCCGAATGTCAATTTCAGCACCATTATATCCTATGGGCTGGCATGACTAAACACCAAGGTGCACGGAATGCTGTTACCTTCCAATTGAAGTGGTACCTATTTATCTACTTGCAATTCCTTGCTTTCGAACTGTGGCTCTTCGGCTTTAAAATGGAGGTGAGCACCGCAACCCTAGAGTCAGATTCGACTCGCTTTCGAGCAAGGGAACCTTTACCTTTATATCCTATGGGCCATTGAAGTCAATGGCGAAAACATAGGGTATATTCTGGGGGCTGGAAGGGGAGAATCCAAACTCACGGGGTAGCTGCTGGAGTCTCTCCCCAAGATACCAACCACGTTTCAAGAGCATTGGACCAGGGGGTGCAATTCTACGGACCCTCAAACAGGTTGCCCCTGTCCCCTCCATTGTTCTCTATGGTGTGTGTGGGGGGGTTCCTGTTCTCCATGAAAGGAAGCCCAGCAGGAGCAGTGAACAGAGAATAAATTTTGCTTGCACACACTGACAGGCAGGCAGGACTGCAGAGAAAGAGATGAATAGAAGCAGAGACCCATGCTTTGTCCAGCTGGAGAGAGGCTATCCGCCTGCCTTGCTCACTGGAGGAATGGAGATACAAAGAACACATACATACACACTAGCTTAGGAAATGAGAGAGATATCAGACATTACAAAGGTTCAGACAAGCAGCTGATTCAGGGTCTGAGCTATAATGGATGCCATCATTGCATTAAATGGCACTGTAGCCATGGGAGAACCTGCTACACATAGATCTGCTCACTTTTAAAGGAATGTGAAGTGGACAGGCAAGGTGAACTTACTTTACCACCCCATCCACCTTTCTTCTCTATCCTCTCTGTCTTCTGTTCGAAGCCAGACGCTGATATGGGAAAATTTGTTTAAGAACGTAAGAACACAGAAAGAGCCCTGTTGGATCAGACCAATAGTCCATCTAGTCCAGCATCCTGTCTCACACAGTGGCCAACCAGTTCCTCTGGGTGGCCAACAACAGGGATAGAGGCTGAAGTCTTCCCCTAATGTTGCTTCCTGACTCTGGGATTCAGAGGATTAGTGTCTCTGGATATGGAGGTTCCTCTCAGCCACCATGGCTAGTAGCCATTGATAGACTCCATGAACCTATCTAATCCCTTTTTAAAGCTGTTTATTCCTATGGGCATCACTATATCCTCTGGCAGCGAATTCCACACTTTACACTCTGTGTAAAGAAGTATTTCGTTTTGTCCATCCTGAACGTACTGCCCATCAGTTTCATTGGATACCCTCTTCTACTATTTTAGGAGAGAAAGAAAAATTTCTCTTTGTCAACTCTCTCCACCCCATGCATAATTTTATAAACCTCTGTCATGCCCCCCCCCCAGTCACCTCTTTTATAAACTGAAAAGTCAACTGAAAACTGAGATGGCTTACAAAATAAAACAAAATATTTAAAGATATTTATTAAAATCCAGCATTAAAAATCCATGGCTAGGGAGATAAAAATGCCGAAAGCACTAAGGCAAGAGTCCCAAATGTGGAGCCCGTTGACACTCTTCCTGGTGCCTGCCCAGTGTTTTTAGAACATGGGCAGTGACAGATGCGTCATTTGCCCTGCAAGTATTATGACTTGCCATTGGAAATTTAATTCACTGTGCAGATTATTTTTTAAGGTTGTTTTGGCAGCAGCTGCCACCACAGCACAAGGATCTTCACTGTATGGCCAAAGGTAAGCTGCAGTAGCCTTTGGGGGGCTGGTTCTGCCTCCTGTAATGGCCATTTTGTGGCAGTCATTTTGTGACTTGTGTCCATCATGCTGTGCCAGAATTCCCAAAGTGCCTGCAGGCTCAAACAAGGTTTGGGACTCTTGCACTAAGGTAATGCCAGGGTTTTACTCTCCTCATTTTGGCTGATTTTGGGGCCACAATCTCTCATCCTGCCAGCCAGTCAGCTACTAGCTGTCTCCACACATGAGCCAGAGGAGATAATCTTTCTTACCTCTTTATTTCCCCAGGTATTTTTAAAAATAGTGCAGCAAGCAACATCTGATGTTTTCCAAACTCTTGCAAAATTTCTTCTCATGAAAGCTCAGCCATAATTTTTGGTTGCCTGTTGCCAAGGCAACCAAAATTATGGCCAAACTCTTGCAAGAAGAAGGAATGTCTCAGAAAGCCCTACAAGGTATGCACAGTTTGCAATACGTTGTAGGGCTTTCTGGGGAGCAACTATTACTTCCTGAGGTCGCAACATATGTTGAGCTGCCACCGCTTGTGACCAAATCAAGAAACACAGTAGCCCTGTTCACATGCCAGATTGAAAGCAGATACACCCTGCATATGTGGGCATATATCTCTTTGTAAGAAAGAGCCAATGTGTGTTCATTTTACAAATGAAATCAGGGACCTGTATCTGGATCAGGGGTCATTTGGGGGGGGGACGCGGGGGGACGCCATCCCCCCGGGTGAGGTGCGGGAGGGCGGGGCCTGGAGCTCCCTGCTGGTGCCCGCTGGAGGTCGCCGCCGGCTGTGGGGAGGACACACTTCCAGTGATGTCAGGGGGTGTGGCATATGCTAATGAGTTATGCTAATGAGTCCCCCTAGCTCTTTTTCTACGAAATGACCCCTGATCTGGATAAATGTGTGGTTTCAACTCACACCTTTAGCTGTATCTCTGTATCAACACACACTTAAAGAAGACTCACATGAACGCCATACATGAATTGTATGTGTTTTTACTGTAACATGTTAACAGGGCTACATAAATCCATGTACTGTGTACACTTGATTTTTCTTTATATGTGCATTGAATAATTATCAGATTGCTTCCAACACATATACAGCTGAATGGATGGTTTAAACCCCACATTTATTCAGGTACTGGTCCCTGGTTTCATTTATAAAGTGAAAACAGATTGCATCTTTCTTACAAACAGATGTACAGATGCTAATGCATTCACTGTAACTTGTGAACAGGGCTACTATCAGGCCCAAATAAAAAGTTGATCTTCTCTGGTAAATGCCACCACCTCCCAACCCCTTTGTACTTCTTGCGTATTTGCTTTATTATTTCACACACATTGAGTCTCAGTTACATTTCAAGCAAACACTGCAATCCTGTTGTCCCCCTTTTCTCTTAAACAGTGGGTAAAGGCATGCCCCACTTAACACTCTGAGACTTCAGCATATGAGAAAGCCCTACATTTGACCAAGCAGAGAAAGCATTTCTTAGAAAAGTGCTGTTAGTTTTTAAAATATATATATTATTTGATTCAGTTATCTTTTTGAACAATTCTAACAGCATCCAAAAGAACGCTTGTGTGAGACAGATGTGGTAGCATTTGCCTATAATTTGTGATTTTCCTCCCACAATTGGATGTCTCTTGCACCTCTTGGTTTGATAAGACTTTCATTTTATTGGGTTTTTAAAAATAATTTCCCAGTGGGAAACTACGGACATAGTTCTTTGTAGGAGAATGCAAACAATTGTACACTCAGAGCAATAATGAATGATTGTTATCTGTCAAATCCTTTCTCTCTCTGGTTCTCTGAATTTTTTTAAAAAATGAGAATGATTATTCAAATCAATGTTATTTAGGACACCGTGCAGTAAGAACAGCCTGTTCAGAACCAAAGCAAACGTCTGAGCCAGCCCTCAGGCCACATCCAGATTGCTCAAATACACACTCCATAAAAGTGTTTTGCTTTTGCTAGAGCCCAAGTAAAGGTATCACAAACTGCTCATAAAACAAACATTGAGTTGAAAGTATGATAATGTAGAAGGGTATTTATTTCAGCACGACAGGTGTTCTAATCTGGAGGCAGTTAACTACCCACAGATGCAGTGGTTTTGTCAGTATACCAACGAGAGAAGTAAATAATTCAACAGAATATTGTCTGAAGCAAATGTCAGTGGAAGTAAAATGCCTTTCAATAAAGGTGATTCCAGAATGAAAAATGGAAACGATTTTTTTTTATGAATAATACACAATTCTACAGTTTAAATAGGGTTCACTCCTGGCTACATAGTTCAAGGAAGCTTCAAAGTGGTTTAATTATCCTGGAAGAATTTCTTAGTGTTGTAGCTACTATTGGTGCTCAGAAACTTCCTGCACAAAGACACATATACGAATAATTATGCAAATACAGTCAAATGTTTGTATATATGGAACTGCTGTCAGTTAGTTTGCTTACACTTCAGAATGAAAGGGCAGAATCCAAAGTTTAAACAACAGATGCTGAGCCATATTGATAGATACAACTGATTGAGACTCAGTAGTGTTGAAAAGGAGTTGTGAGAGAAGAAAATGCAGTAGCTATTACCTTCTGGAAAACTCTTTCTCCCTGTGGTCTAATAAATATTGTATGAACTAACATGAAGCAATATGGTAATAATGTGATATTTACCCAGTTAGCAGGTGCACCCATTGAGGTTACTGCTGTCTGGTTTTTGTTGAGGTAAGATGTGTTTTAAACCTTTTGGGGAAAAAAATTCTCTCTTTTTCCTCCCCATCATAGCTTCTCTTGGGACTAACATGACAAAAGAAGGTCAATTCCAGGCTGTAGCAGCACTACAAGGCACCACAGCTGCATCTGCAACGGCAAATAATGGCACAGAACCAGCAATCCCAGGAGGAGGGGGGAAAGAAGATGCCTTTTCCAAGTTAAAGGAGAAATTTATGAATGAACTGAACAAAATTCCATGTAAGTAAAACAGAGCTGAAGAGACATTTCCACCTGCCAAGTCTAAAAATTCTTGGAAAATGCACATATTTTAAGTGTCTTAATTAACTCAGGCTAATCATAATGTATAAGCAATGTGGAGCTTTATATTATATAAGCAAATATGTTTGAATGCTTTTGTTCATCTAAAGGCACTGTTTTTTACTTTTTCCCCATTGAGACTAGAACTTTTCAGAAACTAGCAGAGAGAATTTGGGTGGGATCTGATTCTATTCATTAGTCATCAAAGAGACTGAGGTTCTTATCTGGCACGGAAGCAGAACAATTTGAAGCGTGATGCAGATGTAACCTTTAAGGTTCATTATGGGATGGGAAGAAGGACACATAATGCTCCCTCTCCCATAATGCTCTCCTTCTTTTGGCATGTGAGGCTTCCATCATTATGTTTAGGCTTCCATCATTATGTTTAGACTGATAGTGGTCACAAGGGATTTGAAATCAAGCTTTGAATCATACCAAACCAGGTACGATAAAATGATTGTTATGAATTTATATGGTGCTGTAGAGTTTACAAAGAGCTTTCCATTCATTATGTTGTTGTGATCTTTGCAACAATCGTGTAAGGTAGTGAACCAGCATTATTCCCGCATTGCAGATAGACTGGGGCAAGCTGAGAATGAGCCTGCAGCTAATATTGCCAATGGGCCAGGAATGAAATGCCCTGACCCTTTAATAGAAGTGTAATGAGTGACAATGAGCAGCAGAAGCTTTTCACGGCATGAAGGTAAATAACATCATCTGATAGTTGCTTGCAGATCAAGCTGATATTCAAGGAATAGCTCGAGATGACAGTTTAAAATTGGCAACCCTAGCTAAAACACATGGGGGCAAAAAGGAAAGAGAAGGCTGGAAGAAGAGGAGGCTCCTGCTGCCAGCTTCCAAACCCTTCACTCTTTAAGTTTATTTAATTATTAAAATATCTATATCTTACCTTTCCCACCAACTACAGTGGCTCATACTTGCATGTATCCCATGTATACCATTAGCTGTAACATGCTTTTCACGTTGTACCTGCTAGGGTCTTTTAACATAATGGTACACTGATTGTACACTGGAAATGGAGTGATAAGGACTGAGTTTTTAATTTTTGTAATTTTATTTATGCAATATGTTGTTGCCCACCTTGAACCTTTGGACTGGGGTAAATTGGGAATGTATGAACACCAAAACATTTGGCAGTTCATGTTTTATTCTGCCACCAAACATTTGGCAGTTCATGTTTTATTCTGCCACCAAATCCAGTGCCATTAATAGTGCAGTCCTAAACCACAGGCACGCCCTTCTAAGCCCACTGACTTCTTTTGATTTAGAAGGGTGTAATCCTGGTTAGGATAGCACTGTAAGGCATGTGCATGTGCCTGTGCTTAGATACAGTAGCTTCAAAAGGATAGATTATCTGCTGCCAGGTACTATTTAAGAACTGATGACTTCCCAAGTATTATTGGTAGGACTAACAAGCTCCAGATGAGGTCTGGAGTTATCCTGGAATAGCAACTGATCTCTAAATGACAAACATCCATTCCCCAGGAGAAAATGGCAGCTTTGAAGAGTGGACTCTATGGCATCACATCCCTACAGAGCTTCCTCCCCTCTCCAAACCCCACTGTCCCCAGACTCAACCCCAAATCTAAGAATTTCACAACCCAGAGTTGGCAAGCCTAATCATTGGGAACATCACAGTGACAAAAATTAAAAGGCAGAAGTGATTGTTATACAGTGAAGGCCATAGGAAAGATATTGTTTTTTTAAAAAAATTACAGCTATCATCCTATTTCTGACAAATTTGCTTCTGGCATACATAAATTTGGCCATCCATTGGGGTAAAGATTGGGTTGGGCCATGAGATTATGTGCTTTCTTTCTCCAAGATCAAATTTTCTTTTGTCCTGCCTGTATCTGGGCCAAATTGGGGTTTAAGATTACACTGGAGCAGACTATAGCTTTGCTTCATGCTAACTGGAGCTGTTTTAGAAATGATTTTAGACCAAATTCAAAACCTGCCTTCAAGGTTGGTGTATCAAAAGCAAAATTATTCCTGGACTGGAATCAGAAGGCCCTTACTCTCACTGTGAAGCAGAAGAAGAGGAGGAGGAGGAGGAGGAGATTGAATTTATACCCCACCCTTCACTACCCAAGGGAGTCTCAGAGCGGCTTACAAACTCTCTGCACCAAACTGTGGTCAGTCTGAGGCCACTTGTGGCCCACAGTGCCTAGGGGAAGGGGAGAGGGCAATGGAAACAAGGAACCCCCCAACAGTAACACCCGAAAACACCACCACAAGAGCCAGGCATCCCCACCCGGCTCCTGGCAAAGCTCCTACAATTGCAACCAAGTCCATAGAACATCCCTAGCCCCATGTAGCCAAATGTCCATTCCCTATTGAGACAGTTGAACTCCATTGTGATGAAACAAGACCTCCAACTGGTATGAGATGCCCAGATGATGTATTCTGTGGCCCCCTGACCTCCACAATCTTGCCCAGTCTGGTGGTCATCTTCCTCCTTTCCACATTGACCCTCTCTGGGCAGCTAGCCCCACGCCAATTGCGCTGTTTCAGTCAATCTGATCAGAAGATAGCCATGGTTGGGAGCCTTGGCCTGATGTGCCAGGTCTATTCTCATGTGGGCCCTCAGGTCATTCCCACACAGCTGTATCACCAGTGCATTCAGGGACTGTTGAGACCACAAGTGATGTTGGACCCTAGGTAGCAGTGCATCCCATCTCATTCCTCTTGAGCTGATCCAGGTGATTCACAGCACCTCCTCCAGGCCAAGGTTTTCACCCCATCCAGATGAGTCTGTGGAGATTCCCGCCTAGTGTACAATGCTGTGCCCACAGATCCATACAGATTTGTGCTGATGCCCTGAAACTAAGAAGTCACCATTAAAAATCAGCAGCCAGGTGCAGCTGTATGTAGGTCCTGTATGCCTCAGATCACCATCTCCCAATGGCTTGGATACATGAAAGCCCCAGCTCCAGTCCAGCTGCTGTGGTCGCCTCCCCAATTCGGAAGGAGTGGGGCCCAATCTCTCTGTGGAGGAGGCCCAGAGCTGCTATTCCAGGCCAAAGGACACTGGCAAACTGATATTTTGTAAGAGGAGAGCTGTCCTTGTGAATAAGAAGACGGCTCAGTCTATGGGGCCACGCTGCCATAAAAGCCCTTGTAGCCTGCACCAGGCACAGGCCTCCCCGCACTAAAGGACCCAGCTTTAGCTGGTTGATCTAAGATATCCTAATGGCCAAGGATACCCATGCCCTGCTGACAAAGACATCCCACGCCCCTAGGGAGTGGTTGGTTGTGCCCCTTCTAGAATTTGCCACTAGTTCTTTGACCTTCAAGGCAACCCCAAAAGGCGAGGGTAAATGCTGCCTCAAATAAAGTGACCTCATAAGCAGACTTGTACAAGATCAGAAGTTTCATCACAAGCTTTATCAGCATCTGAAATGTCAGGGGACTGAATGGGCCAGAAACTCTTCCACTGCCTTGTGAGCTCCAAAGCTGTTGCATGGGTCGGAAAAGCAATGGGCCTTGTTAAATAATGAAATGGCAGCTATGTGCCCCTGGATGGTTCTGTGTTTTATTTTTTTATTTATTGATTTTTATCCCGCCCATTCCGGCCTAGGCTGGCTCAGGGCGGCTTCCAACAAGATAAAACTTCATAATACATAAAACACATTCATCACAATTGATACCAATTTAAATGATTCATACAATAATATAAAACAATGTTAAAATTGACAGTATTAAAGTGCTAGAAATTCCAATATTCAGTAGTTCTGTTGGTCCACTTCCATTCTGGGGGAGAGGGGGATGGACCGGGCAATAGTCTTGGGGACCTACTGCTCAGGGCTTCCACTATAACTATCAGTGGTTATTGGTGGTGATGGCAACAGTGGTGGCAGCTCCAAAAGCCTGGCAGAAGAGCTCCGTCTAGCAGGCCATGTGGAACTGTAAAAGGTCCTGCAGGGCCCTGATCTCCTCTGGGAGCTCATTCTACCAGAGTGGAGCCGCCACCGAAAAAGCCCTGGCCCTAGTTGTTGCCAATCTGGCCGTGCTCTCTGGGGCATATATGGGGAAAGGCGGTCCCTCAGGTATGTCGGACCGTGGCCATAAAGGGCTTTAAAGGTCAAAACCAGCACCTTGAAGCAAATCCAGTATGCTATAGGCAGCCAGTACAATGCTTTTAGCACAGACTGGATGTGCTCCCATATTGGGAGTCCCATCACCAGCGTGGCTGTGGCATTTTGCGCCAGCTGCAGCTTCCAGGTTTGCAACAGGGGCAGCCCCATGTAGAGGGCATTACAGTAATTTAATCTCAAGGTGACCATCGCGTGGATCACTGTTGCCAAGTCACTGCATTCAAGGAAGGGGGCCCACTGCCTTATGAGCCGAAGATGGTAAAAGGCCGACTTGGCAGTGGTTGCAACCTGGGCCTCCATTGTTACGGAGGCATCCAGGAGCACCCCCAAGCTCATAACCTCTGGCGCTGGCACCAGTGGTGCCCCATTGAAGGTTGGGAGTGGGGTACTTACCCCCGGACTGCCGCGACTCAGGCATAGGACCTCCGTCTTCATTGGATTCAATTTCATCCGGCTTAGGCTAAGCCAACCAGCCATGGCCTGTAACGCCTGATCTAGGACTTCCAGTTTGGAGTCGGACTGGCTGTCCAACGACAGATAAATCTGGGTGTCATCTGCATACTGATGACAACCCAGTCCATATCTCCATGCAATCTGGGCAAGAGGGCGCATATAGATGTTTAAAAGCATTGGGGACAACACCGCCCCTTGTGGCACTCCACATTCCAGTGGGTGCCTCCGGGACAGCTGATTCCCCAGCACCACTCTTTGTCCCCGACCTTGGAGAAAGGAAGCAAGCCACTGTAAGGCTAGTCCCTGGATTCCAATGTTGGCGAGGCGGTGGATCAGTAGCTGATGGTCGACTGTGTCAAATGCGGCTGA